GTCGACTGCTTAAACATCTCACAAGGAATGACTTTGTATGCAACTTCTAACAAGCTGGCATATTATACTGCTTCATATTATACTCCGTTTATTATATTCATTATGTATATCTTATTCTGAAGTTTTATATAATATTCATTTGTAAATGTATTTAAATATGTTGCCGGGAGATTTATTTTTTTGATAAAATGGCCTGTCGGAGTGTCCACTAAATTATTTAAAAATAATGTATATATCATACTGCTTCAGTTTGGAAAATTGAAATTGGAATCATATTGAGAACATGCCAGAGCAATACTAATCTGTAATTACTTGATAGGTTGGGGAGGGGGCAAACCTATGACTATATATAATGTCCGACAAGTGGACACGATTCTCCTGGTCTTCCTGAGATCTTATCGATAACCCATTACTTACAAAACACCCATGTATGTATGTGGTAATACGTCCTAGATATCGATGAACGTTAAAGTTGAACTTCAAAGAAAATCACAAATATGTCAACTAATGTATGACTAGAAACTGGTAAGCTAACAGATGGCCATCGTACAAGTTTTAGGTCAATATACATATCGGGTGATTTATAAAAATACAAATACAACCACCGGCATAGCAGCTGGGATATACGAGAGATTCGCCGGAAAAATAAAGATGTTTTAATGACGTCACTATATGGACCAATACTGCCCAAGCAGACGACATCCCATAGAGAATGAACATAATTGCAAAGCTTTTATTTGTCAAATTATAATGAGTTTAGTGTATATAAATGTGATGGCATGTCAAACCATTCAAAAGGGGATATGACCCGATTCCGATAACTAAAATCTTTTGCTTGTAAATACACAGGATAGGGGTTAATTAACAGTCAAAGAAACCAGACTTTCGAATTGAAAACCCCCGGAACGATGTTGAGGACGGCATTTGTTCCCTCTTGAAACGCCGAACATACCGCGGTGTGTCCAGCTGAATATTCAATGGCGTCTTATTTGTTTACAAGCGACAAATTCCTTTATTTTTGTATCGCTGCATTTGTCATCAAAATAAAACCATGTGCGGGGTTAAGAGTGAGGCAATAGATTATACATTTAGCCTGACGGTAGTGGAGTAAGAGAAAGAACTCTAGAAAAGATGAAAACACAGGCACTGAAAATGTGTGAGATGTCATGGGACATCGTCTGCTTGTGCAAGTCATGTCCATACTGTGATCTCACGCATCTCAGCAGCGTTCGGGGAGCTCTTCAGGTGCTATGACGGGGCTGTATTTAAGCGTTTTATAATTTATAATAATCATTATTTCGAATGTTTCCAAGCATTGAATTTTGATAACCTTGTCGAATCAACGTTTCAACTTTGCAATAATGAAATTAAGTTAGTTTTTAAAATCAATAAACATCAACTTTAAACATGTTCTTTTTTATCACATGCTGTATTCTGTAATCATTTTGACTTTAATTTGATATGCATATTTACATCTTTGTATACGTGTATGATCACATATTAAGCATATATGCAAACTACAAACAAGTACGTATTACATTATAGTCTCAAAAGAGCTTGATTTATGGTCGGGTTTATTTATAAACAGGTGATTGCGTGTTTGTAAACCATGATTCATTATGGCATGGTATACCATAAGATAATAGGGCCGCGTGGCTGAATGAGGTAATATGGTTTTAAAGCGTGATTGTGCAATATTTCGCAAACGTGTTCAAATGTTTTTGTTTAGATTGGTGTGATATACAGTGCGAGTCAAAAAAACGTTTACGCCTGGAAAATTGTTTTTTTTTTAAATATTACTCACACGGTATATAACATGTCAATGGTTGAGCAATATATCAGCCAAATTACAAGTCAATAAGCAACCATTTTTTTTCTTCTCCTTAATTCAGGTTTGAAAGGGATGTTTAAATTTACGAATTAATCCGTTTTTTATTCAATAATAATGAATGATACAAACATGATAATACCATTTAAAACAAAATCATGTATTCAGTGACCAATACTTGAACAGTGCAACTCGTAGTTAGTTGATGACGGCTATTAGCTTTTAGGACCCATTGTTACCAATTATAAAACAGAGAGATGTTTGTACAGAAGAAATATATTTACATCGCAGGGGAATAATCATCAGAAAGTATAGACACTCTTTACCAATTGGCTTCAAGTCACCATTTATTTGAACTATATGACGGCGTTATTAATTATCACTTATTAGGAAAATACATTTTCCACTAGCAAAATAATGATAATGATGATTAAAGATTTTTCGTGAGATAAAAATTATCATCGTTTAGATTGCAATTTCTTAACGCTTACGCAATTAAAAGTTGGCCTGATACCGTATAGTGAAATATGAATTAATGCATTTCTACCGGTACATTGTGCTATTTAGTGTGCCATGTCGAAATGGGAAGTTCGTGGATTTGAACTGCGTACGAACGGAAATTTCCTTTACCATAAGTAGGCCTAGATCTAAATATACCACATAAATATTACACAATTTTACTGCTGTTGTTCTTGCTGTTGCCACTGTGAATCCTGACACTGTCAAGTAAAAATTCCCTAGGGGAAATACGAAGGAAGTTATAGGACGTTTTCTGTTTGTTTATACTACTATTGCTTAATAGGGATTATTCAAATCTTGGTTTAATCACGCATTGCTTTCAACAACTTTTTATTTTTGACTAAACAAAGCTACAAAAATTAATTCCATAATTTTGGATAAATGATAAGCACAGGGTACCTTTAGGATTCAAAGACCATAATTTCATTACCCATTGTATTTTGGAAAGCAGTTAAGCATGTTAGCCATTTAAGTGGTAAACAGTGGTATAATATGAACATTTTAAAACAAAGAATTTCTTCTAAGTGAATTTAATTCCTAGCTTTTATATGATATGCTACCAGTTCGGGAAAATCTGTTTAAGTGGGTTCTTGTATACGATGCGTAACTTTGTTTAACTTAAGTGCAAAGAAACTGAAGATGTTGTTCTTGCGTTTATTTCATGTCAGGCAAACAAAACCTTCTTCGAGAGCTTTTAAAGCTTATCTGCCGTAGTTTACAGGAGGGATTAGACTGCCCTACAAGGTCACTGGACAGGTGGTTATCTCATCAACTCAGCTCTCAGTTAACATAAGAAAAAGAGGATCATGGGGGACCTATGGTCACCGATTAGGCATTGTTTGCTATATAGAGGGCGCAAGTAGCTACAAGTAGTGCAGTGGGCCTTTAATCTTAAAAGAGAGATAGATATTAATTTCTTACTCAAAATGAATTCGCAAACCGAAATCGATTTGATCATGACGATTGCATTTTGATCTATTTATAAAATGATTATTTTTCGTAATAAGTATGGATAGGGATTCGAATTTGATATATCTATTTAAGAGAGAAATGACTCACAGACTAAAAATAAATTAAAATTTGAAAGTACAAAATATGAAATTCCCTGCAAATTTACTTAGTTATATCTAAAAAAATATTATGTGTATTATTGATGTTCCATTGTTTTGCTAAATGGTTTGTGAAATTATGTAATTAATAAATATTGAATAAACACTTCATTAAGGGCAAAGAGGACAAACCCATTACTTTCAACGTAACAGGTAGGCCTATATGATTTTTTTTTTCTTCAGAGAAAAGTCTTTCCTGAAATTCCCTGCAAATTTACTTAGTTATATCTAAAAAAAATATTATGTGTATTATTGATGTTCCATTGTTTTGCTAAATGGTTTGTGAAATTATGTAATTAATAAATATTGAATAAACACTTCATTAAGGGCAAAGAGGAAAAGTCTTTCCTGCCTTGTTAAATTAATTCGTGATAGTAGTCCAGTGATTTTGATTTAGTAAGTGATAACATACTCCAACCCCGTCACTCCATTTTATATCAGAAATAGGAATGGGGAAACAAGCCCATTATTATAACAGTAACACACCAGAACATACTATATTTTAAAAATCAGTGAAAGTACTTTCATATTTGTAGTGTCAAGTATAATGAAAATGGTTAAAATAGGCATACACCAACCTTCAAATTATTGCAAGCCAGTCTTAAACTTTTTATTCTTCGTTTTCCGAGGGCATTTTTAATGTACTTAGAGAATAATGCTCAAATTATCGACAACAGAATTCTTTGAGAGAAGCATTTCAACTGGACTTTTTTGGTTGCATTATTCACTTTGGATGGAAAATATATTGGTACCTTCAATAAAATAATATTCAACATATAATAATAATATTAATATTTAATTGTTATATAGCCAATATTGTACCATTTTATAAATGATTCATCGTATTTGAGCACTTGTATTTTTTTAAAAGGAAAGGCCTCTTTGTTGTGCCTTTCATCTGGGGATTTTCCCCCTCAGATGAACACAAATTTTATAGCCAGAAAAAAGGGCCATGTGAAAAACAGTCACGGAGAAATAACAGAAAAGTAGGAAGTTTAGGACCGAATTGAAAAGGGAAATTAAACATCAGTGTTTCGCTTGCCACGAATTGGCTATATTTTACAATAGGCGTACTATAGTTGAACTTCATCGGGGCTTGAATAATTACGAATTAGGGTGTTATTGTCCGTGTGATATGAGAATAACATTACCCACTATTGGCCAATTATTTCATCTTGTTACTGCATGTTCTTAGTCATTGACTCGTACCATATCTATTTATAGCAACATCCGTCATTTTTCATTATTGCTACCATATTACATCGGTAGCAGTGCATGTTGATGACAGGATCATCATAGTATAGTATAATAAACTATACATGTATTTTTTAAAATCTCAAATCAGGTAATTCTAGCTAGTAGTTTATGTATTTTAGGGTCACCATAAGATACTTGTCTCTATCAGGAACCGATTCCCGTCACTGTAGGGCCATCCTATTTGCAAATGACGTCACTATTTAATAGTAAACACTCCCAAAAAGCGTGACGTCACTCGGAGCGATGCATTATGAGGGGTATATAATAACCTGACCTCGCTGAATGTTTACTTCATTATTCAGAAGCAGCTGAGGGTTCGGGAACAGACGGTACGTTTCTCGCACAAGAAGATCAGCTTTACCGGCAGTTCAGCGAGGTGTGCTAGCAAAGTGTGCGGGTTTTTCTTAGTGCGTTGCTTTGTGTGCGTGTGTGTGTATCGCACGTGTTTGTGTGTGTCAATGAACTGCAAAGGGTTTCGCACATAGTTGGTGCGCACACAGGAAAAACAGTGGCTGCGAGCTAGCTGGCTTCGGGTTGGCTATTAGAAGGCGTGCCAGACACAACGATTGCATTTAGCTGCAAACCGCGCTGTTTTTATCAGCACTCACTCGGCCGTTACACTTCAAACAGTCTGTGATCGTCTAGCTGAGCAGACAATTCGTGTAAAAAAGAAAAACTCGTCGGGGACTGAGCAATTACCAAACCCTGAGCCGAGGTGGCGGTGTTTCCGACTCGTGGAAGGAGAACTTTCTAGATCTTTTCATCTGCTGAATTTTCCGACGTCCCTCGGATCAATAAATACATCTCACCTCTCCATCTCATCTTCGCTCTACCTGGATTTTATAACTGTTGGAATATATTAATCGTGTCCTGACGTCTGATCATCTCTTCAATCATATCTCTATCAGACTTGATGAATATTGGATTTTAAACTTGGAATAACTCATTCTTCTCATCCTTTATATCATCTGGTGGTAGCATCGCATTTTCTCCTCAAACGAAATGGAGGCTGATCAGATTTTCACAGCTGATTGTATCAAGAAGAGGCGGATAAGAGGGGTGAGTATTTTGATATGGTTTGAATTCTATATTCGAGATGGCGGTTACTAGTTGGTGTTTTCGCATCATCTCAGGTGACAGATTGGCACGTTCGGGAAAGAATAGCAAGGGTGTTCGTTGGGTGGTGACTGAATGTGTGCATCATAACATGGTCCTACTCCATGATCATAATAATGATTTGTTCGTTTTTTATAATTGTTTTAGCTCGTCACGCTTCAGGGATCATGGTTTATCAGTCACTAACTTTTAAGTTTGAGGCCTGAGGTATGTGCGCTATATTTGATGTTTATGCTTAAAATGGCGAAGGGGAAAATATATGTATAGAGAGAGAGAGAGAGAGAGAGAGAGCGGAAGAGGGTTGAGGGGGTCGATGAAGAGGGGGAAGACCTAAGTTCGTCACTATTCAAACTCGGGTATAGGATACATCTTTTATTTACCCTGCGGCTATGCTGAGGTGTCAAGAGCCATTTTGTAGTGTTATAGAGATCAGGCTTAGACCGAGGATGTTATGTACTCTGCGGTGAATGATAATGGTTTGGTTGATCGAGTTCGCATGGATTAATTAAAGGACTTCGCACACTGCACGAGTAATCCGTCCTGTCAAATCGTACCTCCTGCGTTTGGTAACTTATGCTTCGCATTTTGATCCTTTAATTAAAACAATTTAAATAGTGTACTTTCCTAATAATAATACAACTTATTTGTCCAGATCGGTGAAAAAAGAAAGTCAGTTACTACGACAATAAACCGATCTAGTGTTAGAGATGAAAAATAATTATAAATCAAACAAAACTAAAGTACTGGTAAGCATATGTAACATCTTTGTCATAAAATCGTGAGTTGCAGAATGTAGACAGGAAGAGTCACGTTTCACCTGAATGGAAAAGCGAAACATTCTCATACTGAAACTAAATAAAATATCTAAACATTGTAATCGATACCTACTACCTAGCCCTTGTTAGCAACTACAATCAATTAATTTTACTCGGAAGGGTTGAATAGATAATAAATCAGCAGCGAATTACTTTTCAAGTTAAAATTGATTGTTAGAAGAGGAGATACCATTGTACACAGTTGTTCAGTTGATCTGAGCTTAGCCCACGTTCAACAATCATTAGTGGGGAAATATTACTTTTGTATCTTTGTGACCATGCAACTCTCCCACGCACTAATTTATAGTTTCTGACCTGTTTCCATGTCAACACTAATGGTGTTATAATAGCGACAGCAGCCCCAATCAAAATAATAGGATTGTGAAGTCAAGAGAAGTTTGGCCAGAACTCCAGGGTAGTTCTGAGAAATGTTTTAAATCCCATTAGAGTATTTTGTAACCGCATCAGACAATACATGAGATAGAAGAATATAGGGAAGTAGTGTAACTACACGTTACGGGAGAAAAATAGTCAATACAAAGCGGATATTGCTTTGGGGCTTTGAGCAACTCATGGACCAGCAGTGTACCGGTTCATTGAATAAATTTATGAAACTTTGACGTGGGGTTAAAGTAATTGTTATTCTCAATGAGCTATTAAATGAGCAAATCCGATAGATATGATAGAAAACGTTATCGGTTAATGTATTTTCTTTCAATAATACACTACTAAAATTGAGTTTTAAATAGTTATGATATTCTTATGACCAGGGCGACAGGCTCTGCCCATACGGGTATCAAAGGGTATTATACCCGTTGCACCAAGCACGATGCATCGTTTTACTGACGTAGGGCTACGTCAGCCACTCATGAAGCGGTCTTTGACCCCGTGCTTGACGCACAATGTGATAGTGGCAACGTTATCTGAATTCCGAAATGAATAGTCCAAAATCATATTGAATTACTGACATAATTATGGCTCATCTATAGCTTCAAGCACAGACTTGATAAAGGCAATATGCATGTCATCGAAATGACGTCACGTATGCAAAGGGTATGAATATGATAGACCTACCTTATTATAATAATTAGACGAAGCTTTTCCATGACACGACTGCCATGATGACGCTGGTTATGATTTCATCATAATGGCGCAATCATAGTCCATTTCGTCATCTGATTCATCATTACTATTATGTTTGTTGTTATTATAACCTGAGACACTGGATAGCGTCAGGGTATGGATTTTATAAACCGTTTTTGCATTTATATTTGTTTGCATCTCACTCTAGATATATATCCGAGGATTCATTGACAAAAAAGCTGACTCATTTTCAGGGGAAAAACACATCTCATTAAAGTTGCACTTATTAAAAGGGCTTCACAATTTGAGATTAGAAATTACCATGGGTAGAATTTTATTCAATATTGTCTAGTGTCTAAAAGGAGCATACTTGTTGTTTTGGGAAAAGTTTTAAACAACATTGAGTGAAAATGCCCAATATTTGGTATCTGTTTACTCAAGCCTCAAGGGCTGATAAATAAAATAATAAAATAATAAAATCCAGAATATGAGGGCGTTGTTACAAATGTGTATACGCAAAGTCATAAAACGAGATGTTTAAACAAAAAATATCAATAAATTTATTCTCTTGTAAGGTATGTTTAAGAATATTTTGCTTTTGCTGATAAATAATACACAAAATTGATGAGTAACGTACACAAAGTAATCAGCCTGTTTTCCTTTTTCTTTTTAGGGAAAGGTGCAGTATCTGGTGAAATGGCGGGGATGTTCAAGCAAGTAAGTAGACTATTCATTTATTTAAAAATATTTTTGAACGAGTCTTGAAGAGAATATTGAGCTCTGGGAAAGGTGACCAATATGATTTGTGAACCTTTTCCGTCCTTTTATTTTAGTGTGGTAGAGTATCATAGGAAAAATGTCTCCTGAAAAAGATTGCTCCTCAAATGCCCTCACATGGCAAGTAACAGCTAAAGATTGTGGATCGCAACTTTAAAGGGACGTGGTAACATTGTTCAGATGAGAGATAGTGGTGCTCAGGTAGTGACTTCAATGGCAGATGTACAATGAAAGATAATCTGAAAATTTGAGTGAAAACGGACCATTATTCATGGTACAAATTGGGAAAAACTGATCTGATCGATTCCTTAATTCTCCCTACTATATTATTACAATTTTATTACATTTTAGGTGAATGTAAATCGTCACAAAACAATAAAATGGCTCTACATTCCATTCCAGACATATTTTAAGTGTTGACAGATTTTTTATAGCCTGTTTTATGTCTTTTGTTCATGGAAAAACGGTTGGGAAAATTCAAAAATGGTTGGGAGAATTTACTGTTAATCACTGTTAGAGGGTGTTATACATCGACGCCTTAAAAAAAACCCATATATATCTTCGTGGTTTGAGAATTTTATTCAGGATTTTTCGCATGTCAAAGGGTTAGTACAGTAGAAGGAATATAGTAAGTAACATTTTATACAAAAATTAAGCAATTTTTTCATCAACCTTCAACAATGTTACCGAGTCACTTTAATTCATGCCACACATATTCTGTGTCCAGCGCATTTGACCTTTAGCAAAACTGAGCTAATTTCTTTCGTTTTGATTACTCTAAAACCTAAAAGTATACAAAATACTTATCTGCAATATAATCAGCCTTTTTGATTCTATATCATTAATATTTTACTGACACTTAAAATCGGAATAGCATCTCATGAACAGTGAAACTAGGTGGTTTCTGGTTTTAGCCAATATAAATGGGAGAATTCAATAGTAAAGACGTTGACATTATTGTTCTAGTCTGTATCCAAATTAATTGAGTACTCAGTTTAGATATTCTTCGAAGAAATCACGCCTTTCAAAAGATAAATGACCCTTTAATTACTTCAAAGACCCCGAAATCAACGTACTACAATCGGTACTGAGTACATACTACATAGTGTTCTGATCTCAGATATGCAGGATTAATAACGAATATTGTATAAGGTTGTTGCATATGGTCAGCGCCTGAAAGCTACATCTTGTATTAGCCTACTTGAAAAATAGATGTGCAATTGCATATTGAATGCACGAATTTCTTTCCGGAAATATTGCTAAAGCACCTTGTAATCACCATTTTGGGTGTTTACACGTAAAGAAAAGAACATTTCAAATCTATTTTGTAGTCTAAAATGATATGTCAGGGTCTAGCTAGATTGTCCATCTCGTCACACCAAGGAGTTATTTGGTGATTTTGGTCACACACACACATGGACACGCCCATGGTCGTCGTTCATACTATATGTTCTTTTAAATCGAAACCATGTAAGAACCGTTATGATTAAATAAATTTGATATTCCAATATAAATATATTACCATCATGGTGCAGTATACCTTTAAAGATAAACTCCAGTTCTGGTAAAAAAAAAAAAAAAAAAAAAATTCTCACAGAATCAAACGAAACTTACACTGAATGTTCAAGATTACAAATAAATGACATGTGCCAAACAATTTTGGAAGAAAATGTATACTGGCTGAGTAATGAGCATCATGACAAGGAAATCAAGGTAGTAACGAGCACCGACACCATGTGTTTTGTCCCATATATAGCTTTCTGTGTACAGTGCTTGTTACTTTACCAAGACTCGGCCAAATTTATTATGAATTTGATGACTCCAGAACCTTACAGTGCACACCAATACTTACATGCTACATGATCAACTGTTTCTGATCCATTCCACACCTTTTCTTTCACAATGCAATCGCATTACCAGAACTGGAGTTTATCTTTAATACTCAGAACATAACAGTAAAGCAGCATGATAACCACATGTGATAAATCAGTCGTAGGCTTACCGCGATAAAGACTCATCAATAAAGGTTAATGATCAAGTAGATCAACTTTGTTTGTCAAGGATAAAAAAGATATATTTTAATATATACCCGAAACTACTTACGTCATTTCCAGGAATTGTGGTTACAAGTAGTCCCCAAATGAAGGGTATTAATTAGCTAATCGGAACCTATTAATTTATAATGACAAATCAGAAACCTGATAAAACCCAAAGTGGCACTGGAAACGTGAGCTAAAGGCCTACAACCGCGGAAGGATTAGTGAATTAATTATTCAAGGAAATATATTATTAGGTCGTGAGTCGAGCAACCAATCAGTTTCCGAAATTCGTTTCAATTTTTTTTTTTACTTGTTTCAACGTGAACAAGTTGTACGTTATCTCATAGGTTGAGACAATTTCACGTAAATGAGAGAGAAGTTTTCCTACAAAAAAGCTGGTGATGTTTTGCCAGAAGGGTTGTCGCACTTGCAATCATCGGCAGAGGTCTTGTGCAAGTATTTATTTTATATTCGTCTGTAATTTATTGTAGCTATTGAAATAAAACGTCCACTCCCATCCCCACCCCCACCCCATCCCCTCGTCAATTGATGTTGTCGAATAGCGCAGATGCGGAATACATGGGGGAACAGATCGTCTGACCAGGGTCCATGGTCAATTCCAACTCCCTGATCTGACAATACTCTCGATATGTGAACGGAAGCAATGAAATGTTCCTGCATCAAGTCCCTGGTTCCTGTTACAACATCAGTTTCCCTCGTTTCTGTTCTCATTATTTTGTTAACGCCCGGTAAATTTACTGCCCTCAAGACGTACCGTCACGTTTTCTAAGAAAATCCATGGGGCTTTTCGTTTTTCTTCAATGGGTTTTGGGTGTCGTGCTCCTCCGCCTCGTAAAGTTGAAGGTCACGAACTGCTGGCATGCTGTGCCCAGATGTAATATTTCTTCGACGGTCTTAAAAGGTTATTACAATACTTTTAGGTTATACCTTTGGGAAAAGTGTGCACGTTTGGAGATATTTAATGGTCACAAGAAATGAGTAATGCGAATCTTCTCGAGACGACAGTAGAAGGACATGAGACAGACAGTCGTAGTTTTATTTCAATTGTTTGTTCGATTGTTACCCCCTTTATTTTTGTAATGATAAATCAGTTCGTAAATGATTGAATATACTGTGTCCATGACAGTTTGAATAAATCATAGAAATCTCAAATGTTTTAGTTCATTTTAGGTCATACATGGAGCGTTTACGTACAATCAGTCTCGGTTATCGGTTGCTTTTTAATACAGACATTTCGTAGTTTCAGGTGGTTTGGTTGTTTGATTTACCTGACTGCTAAGAAGGCATGTGTTATGTATGCTTGTATTAAAGTAGTTGTTTCTCAGTATAACTCCCAGAGCTCTTATTAGAGATAAATTCTGCTATTTATACCATCGATTTCTGTACACACATTCGTAACTTTCAAGGTAACCCCACAATGAAACAAAAACACAAAACACATCTTTGTTGTACCATGTATGTAATCTTTATTTAATTATCTAACCACTACTACTGCTACTACGTACTACTAGAGAAAATGGGGTCCGACTCTCACGTTCGTTATGATGCATGAAGTAAAGTGTGATGCCTCCACAGAATTCGACCCTGGAGTAAACGAGACATTTCCAGCGAGGCGTATTGACCGTCCGGTTCATTTCCAAGAAACCATATTCGCTCCCTAATTAGCCGTGTCAATCTTAAATGTCAATATTTAATGCTCTGGAGCAAACTACACGGCAATAAAAACCGCAGACAAACACATGAAACATGTGTAGCTTGAAGCTCTACAGAAGAAGCTAATATATAGTTTGTGATTGGTGGCTCAGTAAAAGTATATCCATGGACCTATTACGTACATGTATGTTCTTGGTACATCTAACCTAATTTCCCTCTCTAACAAAACAAATTCCGAAGTTAATGTCGCCTGAGCATACGTTTGATCACTGATTATTTTGCGATTTTAAAAAAAAAGTTTGTGTACAATTTATAACCCATTAAATTAAATAAGGCATGTATTTTTGTTTACAACTATAGCTATGTTTGCGCATGCCAATTACATATTATTATGTTTACAATTTTCCATTGGAAATGCCTCTTCATCATCAATGTCATTTCACGGTTTTAATCCGATTATCGGGTGTAATTGGATGTGGCAAGGGTCGAGCCATGAATTCAACGGGCCAAGGATTGGAGCACTTTATTTCACTTCTCAACAATGTGCTGAATAACGTCTGTTTGTAAGGACGTGACTTCATTACAAAGTGGAGGACAAGGGAAGGAGGAAATCGCCGTCCCATGTGCAAGAGAAGGAATGATACTCAACACTCTCTGAGAGCATATCCGTTTCTATTTACAAGACGGTGGTTTCAATTTACATTTCTGCCGCATCTCATAGATATAGCAATGCAAAGAAAATAGACACGGACATAACTTTGTCCACTCGAAAAAAAGGTACTGCATAAAGATATTTGATTACAGTGAATGCTATTAAACTGTGGATTTTGGCTATATTATTTGCCAAAGGCCTTTGCTTTTGTAGTAGGTCACTAGGCCTATAAATGATATAAGCCCCTTCTGTTCACACTAAATAACGATACAAATGGTATTAAGCGATAAGGGTAGGTCCATGGTTCATGAGGTCTGTTATGCATTTCTTGGAAGACAGACTTTCTTCTTTCATGTTTGATTAATTCAATTAAATTGAGATAAATTACAAGTGTAAGCTAACGATTCTTTGAAATCATCCGTCGTTCGTATTCCCAAACTTCTTTGACAGATTGTCGAAAGCTCTGTCAGAAGCTCTGTCAATGGCAAGTTGTGGAAGCGATTGTCAATACCAATTGAACGAGTTACCCTTGGCAAGAATTGCATTTGACCGCAAACGAGGTTTAGTCAAATTGA